TTAGGCCCGCCTTCAAGAAGAACTGGGTCAATGACATACAGTATATTCTATTATGTCACTGAGCTGGGTGCACCCGCAGCACCACTAACACACCCAAAATGTATTCCACCGCAAGCGAGTCACCCAGAAGATATGCTGCACCCATGGCCTTATTGAAAGACTGCTCAGTACAACAGGACAGATTCTCTCTCCCAAAAGAGCCAGATTTCAAAAATCTTTGAAAACCAACTTCTTCTGAACTTGAACAAGAAATTCTTGCTGCAATATTAAAATGTGTCAGTTCATGGGATGTTAGGAGTCAAGACATGTCTCCACATGTCTCAACACTCAGGTCCAAATTTGAAAAATGGTGTCAGGAAGTTAAAATATTGTTCACTATTGACCCATTACAAGGTTGAATAGACATTATTTTAACTAGAGTTGACGACAAACTGGAGTTGAAATATCAGTGGAAATGATCAGTGCCTGTTCATTTGTTAGTTGTGTCTAATGATCCTTTTGTTCAGGCAGACAACTTTTACTTAAATGTAAAATATGAATAAAACTAATTTATAAATATGTTTTTGTATTAACATCAATAAAAAATCAGGTGTGATGGAACAAAAGACTAGAGTTGAAAGCCAATCTTGAATACCAGAAATAGTCTAGGAATCTGTTTGGACATGGTGCCTGATTTTATGCGTGCACATTAAGAACTGTAAAATGATTATTACCATGTGGTTTTATTTATCCTAGTTCCTAGTATTCAAGTTTTTTTTTCTTTGTTCTCTCTGTTCTTGGTGTCCCCAGAACACCACATACAAGCACAAAATAAAAATAAATTGGCAGTCAGAAAAAAAAATATGCTGGTGAAGATTCTCAGTCAAAAGAAAAGAGCACTTTGACTTTTCTCTGCACTTCCTAGTTTTGTCCAGAAGGTGGCGCCAATCATCGTTAGCCCTCAATGCGCAGCCGCAGTTTGAGCCGTAGAGCGAGTATAGGAGGAAGCTGTTTGGTCTCAGAATGTGTTTACGATTGGACACATGTTTTTAACATTTTATCTCGTTTACCACCATGAAAATTAATGAGAATACTTTACTGGAGGGACAGAAAGTCGTGTTGGTTCCTTACAATGAAGAACACGTACCCAGGTAACTCTAAAATAGTCCTGATCATCTTTTTTCATCTACACTTTTATTTGTTTTAGGCTAATGTGCTATTTTAATATATATTTATATATTTGCTACGTTATTTCTGTTAATAAAAAGAACAAAAAAACGCTATCTTGGTGTTGCAGCTTAAGGGTTTGGAGCTCAGCTGTTACAGTTTGTAAATATAAAAGTAAAATGTGTTAATATGGATGAAAACAACAACAAAAAATTCTTTTTTTTTTTTGCCCTACTATCGAAACAAACCTTAAAATGTTCATATAAATTAAAGCTCATGTCAAATTTAGTAAATAATTTTTAATTAAAAAAATGACTATGATCAAAATGTTTCAAGTTGACAATCATTTCTTTGGCATGCAGTTCAGTTAAAACATTGAACACAAGCTCTTCTTTAAATTATTATTTTTCTATTCATAAATAAACCTGTTACTAAAATCTTTTATTGTAAATACTATCGTTTTCACCCAGAAATGTAGTGAACTACTAATGAACTATTCTCAATAGAAAGCTGCTCATGATAAGTTTTTCTTATGATTATTTTAGTACAAAAATGTTTAAATGTATTTCCTGTTTGGTCTTTGTGCTTAAACTAGTAATTTTTTTAGCACTTTTTTTTAAAGTTGTGTCATACATTTATTTTTTAGAGAACTATTTTTATTTTATTTTTATTTTGCTCTATCTCAAAGTGATTTTCTCGTGCCACAAGTCTAATTTAAACAATTAAAACAGATCAATTTTTAGTCAAACAGCACAGGAGAGAACGTTGCTCAAATGTTCCCCCAATCTATCATTAGCTTTTCTGTGGTTGAGTTGCGGATACAACAGGTCCAGGAGAGAAAACCAGACATCCCTCTTCCCAGTGGCACTCTCCAGTTCGTCAAGGTGTTCCCAGTCCAAAGATACACAATCCCTCCACTGAGTTCTGGGTCCTCTCCAGGGTCTCTCCTCAGTGGGACAGGCCCAGAAGCAGCCTTATCAGATTCCCGAACCACCGAAATCGACTCTGATGCGATGGAGCAGCGGCGCTACTCTGAGCTCCCCTGGATGACGGCGCTCCTCACCCTATCTGCTTGGAAGCTTGTACCTCCTTCTTTCAGTCATGATCCAAACCTCATGACCACAGGTGAGGGTTGGAACGTAGACAGACGAGTAAACTGAGTCGCCTTTCGACTCGACTCTTTCTTCACCACAGTCGTCCGCATTCCTGATCCGTCGATCCATCTCCCATCACTTGTGAACAAGACGCCCAGATACTGGATCTCCTCCACCCGAGGCACCACCTGCTCAAATATTCTGTAAAGGCTTAAGCGTTTTTTTTTTCTTTCTTTTCTGCACACAATAAATTAAAGAAAAAACATTTTAATTTCATTTGAATGGCTTTTTACGGACCACGAAACAAATAGCCAAACTAAAAATCACCACGATTCTGATATCACACGTTTATTTTGTATTTGTTTATTTTTAAGTGGGTTACATTTACACATGTTATTTTATGGAGCACCAAGTTGTCCGTTTCAGCTCAAGCACAGGATGTTTTAGTTTTTCACAGTTTCTTTGAGGCACGTTAATTATAAGTTCAACACTATATAAAGTTCTTTTACACCTGAATGTGTTGAAGAGCAGGTTGTGCATTCTGCTGGTTTCTGCAGGTATCACGAGTGGATGAAGTCTCCTGAACTGCAGCAGCTGACCGCTTCAGAGCCGCTCAGCCTGGAACAAGAGTACGACATGCAGAGGAGCTGGAGGGACGACAACGACAGTACGTGCTCATCAGTTTGCACTTTACACAAAAATACTTATAAATGCTCTGAATCAGTCAGTATTTCACAAACAAAAAAAAAAAATCTTCAGCATTGTTCCAGGTCAAAAAATCAAAACTGCATAAAGGATTAGAAACATGTTTAATCCCACCATTTGATTTTAAACACTTAACATCCCAGAGTGCACGTTTATCATCTTGGACAAGCAGCGGTGGGCGGACCCCAGCGTTGAGGAGGAGCAATGCATGCTGGGAGATGTCAACATCTTCCTGACTGACCCCACAGACCTGTCTGTAGCAGAGCTGGAGATCATGATAGCAGGTGACTGAAAACTTTCTCAAGCTTGTTTAGTCAACCATCTAAAATCTGTTTACGTTCTCAAACAGAGAGGCGTCTTTTTTAATTATTTTTTTTTAACAGAGCCGAGTTACAGAGGCAGGGGCGTTGGGAAGGAGGTGACGAGCATGATGATGAGCTACGGTGAGGAATTAGTGGATTTTGTAATGTTTGTTAATGTTGCATGTTGACATTCTAGATTTGATCATTTAGAAAAGGTAGCAAAGTGGTTAAATCACTTTGTGTTGGTCTTTTACCTTAAACTTTGGCACTGGAATTATAATTATAATTAATAACCTAAAATGGCACAATTAAAAATATGAATGAGCTTGATGCAGAAAACGGTAACTAAAATGATCAATTATAGGAAAAGTTACTCTCAAATCATCACCTTGTGACGGTTTTAAAGGGCTTCCTATGTTTGGGAATTTTTATTTAGGAGTGCCAGTGAAGTATCCCTCCTGACAAGTAGGATTTGACTGAGTTCCTTCCTTTTGGTTTGTTTTTTTAACATGTATATAACCCATCACACAAGGACCATACACTACCTTTGGTACTGAGAATGACAAACATCTTTTTTCACACAAGACCAACCACACAATAACATTTTCAGTTTTGTATTTTTTCAGTATCCACATCAACATGTTTCAACTCTGTATCTTCAATGTCCATAAACAAATAAATACAAGTCTCTTCCCAACAAAAAAATGTCCATGATTCTTCCTCAGAGTTCACAAGGCAAGTAATGGCTGCCACACAAATTGCCTCACAGCAAGAGCTGTGAATATGCAAATTAATACATAAGGTCTCAAATATAGTTTCAGTATTACAATGCACATAAATCACAACATTACAGAAAATAATAATTAGACTTACAGGTCATGATGAAAATCTCTGAGGCATAACCAGGAATCAGTTTTCTATTATTATCTGCTCTGGATAAATATCACATTTAATTGTTTTATTTTCTATAAGGAAGTGCAAACAATTTCTTTTTTTTTTAATCATTTTAAGTTTTGATTAGTTATAAAACGAGCAAACTTTTGACTCGATGACGTCACCGGCTTCAGGCACTTATGTGTGGACACGTCGGAGCAGCAGGAGCGGACGTATATTTATTTTACTGGAGTTTTTATCAATCCCACAAACGATGTCTGTTTAAACAGCCTCCAGTTTATGTTAATGGTTTTGGTATGCATCTGTCGGACGGAAGGGCGGATGCGACTGCTGCTCTCGCAGTCCGGAAAGAATTGTCATCTTTCTAAATATCTACTAATACTTTCTCTTTGTGTAATAAAAATGTTCTGGCTCTGACGGATGCGTCACTTTCATGTTCAAAACTCAAAACCTACAACCACCTTCAAACGTTGCTTCTAATGGAATAAAAAATCTGGGGAAAGATTTACCTTCAAGCATGTGCTGCCTCTGTGGAGGAAACTCCATGTCAAGTATAATTTGTGTGTTTTTGTATTCGCTGTGTTTCACCAGGAGTCGCCAAACTCGGAATCAAAAAGTTTCAAGCTAAAATAGGTCTGGACAACCAGGTCAGCGTGGCCATGTTCAAGAAGCTGCGCTTCAACGAGGTAACACGACGCTACCTCTTTGCGTGAGGCGGTCTGGTCTGATGCTTATAGTGATTCCCAACCGGTGCTGCCTGTCCTGCGCAGGTGTCGGTGTGCGACGTGTTCAGAGAGGTGACCCTTGAGCTGACGGTGGACGAGTCCGTTCGGGCGACGCTGCAGGACGATGTGGTTTACATGAAGGAGCGAGACTACAGACAAACGTGCAGCAGCAGGCACGAACTGTTTTCACAGTAAGATGCTGCTCCCTCACCTCTTAAAGGCTTTAAGACGTGGAGCGGGTCAGGCTGCTCTCAGGTGGGGGAAATGAGGGGGAACTTGGAGCACAATCTTTCAGCTGGAAGATTTAACTTAGATTTTATTAATGCATATTTCTCTTTTAACACATCTACAAAATAAAACTGTTTCAATATGTTGTTTTTCTTTTGGCTGCTCCCTCCTGCAGCGGTCGCCACAGCAGGTGAACTCGCACAAGATTTGGCAATTGTTTTACCTCGCGTGCCATTCCTGACGCAACCTGGACTCGTACCTGCAACCTCAGGATTACAGGACCGCAGCACTGACCAATTCAATTCAGTTTATTTATATAGTCGCAACAGAAGTCATCTCAGGGCACTAAACAGAAACATATACATAAAAAGTTAACACTATTTATCTGAGGAGCAGACTGCTTTGACCACAGAGCTATAACAGCCTCAAATAGATTTTTGGTCCTTTTGTTTATTTATTTATTTATTTTTTTAATCAAACTAACAGTGAAGCTTTTTTCTGCCACTCATGTTTCATTGAATAAGTTCACTCACGGATCCTTTCATCATTGATGATGAATAGAAAATGTACATTGTCCATCACACAAATGTGTCTATGGGACAAACAGAGTAATATTGTGTATGCTGTTCAGTGTCAGGAGGGTGATCAGTCTTACATCGGAGAAACTAAACAGCCACTGGCCAAAAGGATGGACCAGCACAGAAGATCAACATCATCAGGCCAGGACTCTGCGGTCTACACTCATGTCCAGGCCAGCGGTCACTCTTTCAGGGATGAAGATGTTCACATCCTGGACAGAGAGGAACGATGGTTTGAGAGAGGAGTAAAGGAGGCCATCTTTGTGAAAAGAAATCGTCCATCATTAAACAGGGGTGGAGGCCTCCGGGTTCAACTGTCCCCCTCTTACAATGCTGTGATTGCTAGTATCACTCAGCCCTCTGTGAATAGTAAACAGCCATCAGTGTGCTAATGATCCTTTGTTAGGCTGATGGTCCTTCTTGACCATGTGAGCAGCTGGTTTTGGTTGTCAGCAGCAAACTGGTTGGTCCACTCTGAGAAGGTGCTATTTATAAGACTGAGCTGAATACAGCACCTCAGACTGAGGAAGTCTTTCAGATGAAAGACGAAACGTTTCTACATTTTTTGTTGTTGTTGTTTTGCTTTAGGGTCTTTGTGCATCAAAGTGTTTTGACCTTACGTTTTGATGATCACGCTTTTATGTATATTTGCGATTTATGTAGCAACCAAACTTTTGCCACTCAGTTTGGCAACATCAGATCTTTTTTTTTTTAATGAATAAAACATCTTACAGGTATATTTAGTCCAGTTATTTGTGATTCTTAAAACTACCTTTTAGGAAATGTATGAAAATCTGAGTAATGTTTCTGCAAACGCACAGACAAAATCACAAACAGAAGTCGTCAGGAAATGCTTTTCAACAAAAGTTAGCAGAGATTTCTGTCTTTATGCAGCTGAAAATAACATATTGTGAGGCTTTAGACAAGTGAGGAGTTTCTGTGTTGGAAATGATTTATTTGCAGATGTCAAACAAGAAAAATGATTGCAGCAGCATCATTGGGCACCATCCAAAATGTTCTCATAAATCAGCCAATAACCCAAACCTTGTAGAGTGATTTAGCAGACCGAGTATGAACTGCTGATCATAACAATTATTTATTTGTTTCAGTTTCTCTGAAACCTGTCTGCGAGGTGACCGATCAATAAAATGTTTTTGACACATTGCTGACCCCATCGCCGACACAAACGGTTCCTGGTTTGGGTTGGCTGCTCTCAAACTTGTGATGGTTATTTAGTAGGAGTTCATGTGTTTTGAGCATTGTGTAATCGTTTATAGGAACCCAGAGTTGTAGGCTGCAGCTGTGATATGAAATTAGTTAAATAGCCAAATTATCACCGAACATACCGTAATTTCTGGACTATAAGCCGCTACGTTTTCCGCACGCTTTGAACACCGCGTTTTATACAATGCTGCAACTAATTTATGGATTTTTTTTTTATCGGGCTAACGAGCTTTAGGCTGCCAAAACCTTTAGCCTCGTGAAACCCGGGCACTCACATAGCTGCCCAATACACGTCTCTCTTGGGGGGTGGGTCCTCTTGACTCAATGAGACTACCTGTATAAGTAAAGGTAGAAAAAAAATCTGACCAATGAAATTACCCAACAGGTCACATCGGACCAATGAAACGAGGAGGGAAGGAAAGAACTGGGAGAAAGAATGTTCTCTCCTCCCTTCCCAGTTGGGCTCCCAGGAGGTTTTCCCTCTCCCTGGGGCCATAATGGGGAGCCCTATTTAAAAAGGCTGTTGCGCCCCATCCTCCTTCCTGCTGTACACTCCTGCACAGGAGGAAGGTGAAGATAGTACCGTAATCAACGACTTCCTGCTAGGCTACTGTATTTTTAATTTAAATTTTTTACCAGTCATGTTACTGGTACTATTCAAAAAGAAAAAAACAAATATTTACTGTACGCATTTGTACATGTTACCGGTATATATTTAATTAAAAGTTTCAAAAAAGTTTCTGCACAAACCCAAGGTTTATATATGTACAAAGTTATACATTTTTTAGTGGGTGGGGCTTATGCCAACATCAGAGCTAACAGCAGGGCTGTTTTAAATGGCAGAAATTTAAGTAAAACCTGATCTAAAGGCTCAGAAGGAGCTTCGATCAGAGCGTGCAGGACCATCATTAGGTCTCACTGTGGAGCTAGTGGACGTGACACAGGTCTGTGTCTCTGTACACCTTTCAGAAAACGCTTCATCAGCAGGTGATTAAGAACTGTTCCGTCACTGAAAAACCTCATGACAGGAAGAAATAGCTGCAGCATAAGTTTTAATGTGCTGAATGCTAAATTTCTGTCTATCAGTTTCTGTAGAAATGACAGTACGCCACCTAGTGGACATGAGATGACCTCCACGCCTTTCTCTGCGCACCAGCGCTGAAAAACTGTCCACTTGATGTGTACAGCGTTGTGGTGGAAGCAGCTCGTCCGTTTTATCAGTAGGACTGGAGGGAACGCATAAAGGAGCATTTTTGGCCACGGGCTGTGAGCGAAGGTGTCCATTCCTAACCGTCTTGTGGGCTCAGTGAGAACCATAATTGGCACTGGGTGTTCTCCCGTGTGGCGGACAGGTTCACTGATGCTCGGCCGAACCTGCTCCAAAATCTGAGAAATCAGCTCGGGATGGAGGCTCCAGTCTCTGTGGTTGGGACCGCCCCTCGACATGATATCCGCTCGCCTGTTCAGGACGCTGTGAATGTACACTGCTCTGATGGAGAGCAGGTTTTTGTGTGCCCAACACAACAGCTGTTTCGCAATGTGTAACATTTGGGCAGAGCGCATGTCTCCCTGACGGTTTATGTAAACTGCCATCACCTTGTTGTCTGTGTGGATCAGAACATGCTGATCCCGCAGCAGAGGCAAAATGCTGAGTCATGTTTCAGACCGTGAAACATTCTAGTACATTATGTAAAGCGACATGTGGTCCAGCCACTGTGCTCCCACTGCTTGGGACAGACACATTCCTCCCAGCTTGACAGGAACGCGTCTGTGGAAACTGAGCCGTGTGACTTAGACCTGCTGATGGGAACTCCCTCAGACAGAATGAGAGGGTTTTCCCAGTGATACAGATTGGTTCTCACGGAGAGGGGCACAAAGATAATCCGCCTCTTCTGGTGCACAGGATCTATGCTCAGGCAGGCCAACCATCTCTGAAGGCATTTCATGTGAAGTAGACCCAGCGGAACCACGATGTGGGCCGCTGACATCGTCCCAGGAGTTGCATGATGGGCAGAACTGTCACTATGCTGCAGGGTTTGACATGGCGGAGATGAGCTGACAGAGCTTCGGCTCTCAGCTGTGATAAACGGGCTCTCATTGTGGTTGAGTTTAGCTCCTCTTCCAGATAAACAATCATCTGGGACGGACGAACTGAACTTTTTTCCAGTTTATAGAAAACCCCAGGTTTAGCAGGTGTAATACTAGCGTTTTAGTCTGTGCGACTGCTTCCTATCTGGACCGAGCTAATAAAAGCAGACCGTCCAGATAAAAAGAATTCTCATTCCTGCCATCTGTAACAACTGCAGAGCCGTCTCCACGCATTTCAAGAACGTGCGTGGGGTGTTTCAGAATGATGGAAATGTGAAAATATGCGCCCTTCAAATCTATGGAGGTGAACCAGTCATTCTGGTGAAATTCTCCAGCAGCTGTTTGATTGTCAGCATGTGGAATTGTATCCCCATGATCGAATTGTTGAACATGAACAGGTCGAGAATGGGTCTCATCCCTCTACTTTTTTTTTTTCAGAACCAGGAAGTAGTGGGAGGAAAACAAACCCTGTATTTTCCTCTCCGTTAGGAACTCTGGAAATCACGTTTTTTTGTCAGAAATTCCTGAACTTTTGACTGGAGAGACAAGCTCTGTTCTAGAGAAGACAGAACCGTCTCTATAATCCCTCTGAATGGTGGAGGTTGAGCTGCAAACTGCAGCGTGTAACCCCTGCTGATCAGACGGTCCGTCCATCTGTCCAGAGAACACACTCACTGTCACTCTGAGTAACACTTGGAGAGTGGGCACGCATTTTGTGTTGTGTCATGTTTCTCATGAACGTCAACCAGACTAAAAACCCTTACTTCCATCACTCGCTTCGGAGATTCTCCGGGGGGAACCCAAGGAGGGCTCAGACAGAAAAAGGCTATATGTGTACCTCTGTGCTGAGCCCAGGCTGCGGTCTCACATTAGAGCTGAGGTGAGCTGGCGCGCACTGAGTGGAAGCGTGAGCGTTTTCTGAGTGAGACGCCGTTTCGGTGGAGGCTTCGGTGGAGATGTCGTGGAGAAACACGTTTAGTCCCGCTGCGCTGTGAGAGGGCAGAAAACAGCAGAAATTAAAATTGGGCTCTGGCTGAAAACGAGGGATTTTACCGGACTGGGTCTGCTGAAAAAAATATAATTTTAGCTGACGTGGCAGACGAGTGTTTTGTGATATTTACTGAACTGCGGTGCCATTTAAAATGCTGTT